AAAAAAAAAAAGAAAAAGAGTCTGTTTTTTGATTTGTCTTTGTTTTACCCCCCACTTTGTTTTTATTTTTTTAAATTCCACATATAAGTGAAATCATATGGTATTTGTCTTTCTCTGAGTGCCTTATTTCACTTAGGATTATACTCTCTAGATCCATCCATGTTGTTGCAAATGGCAAGATTTCATTCTTTTTTATGACTGAGTGATATCCCACTGTATATATGTACCACGTCTTCTTTATCCACTGATCTATTGATGGACACTTGGGCTGCTTCCATAATTTGGCTATTGTAAATAATGCTGCAGTAAACTTTAGGGTGCATGTATCCCTTTGAATTAGTGTTTTTGTATTCTTTGGGCAAATACCAATAGTGAGATTACTGGATCATAGGGTAGTTCTGTTTTCAATTTTTTGAGGAACCTCCACACTGTCTTCCACGGTGGCTGTACCAATTTGCATTCTCACCAACAGTGCATGAGAGTTTCTTTTTCTCCACATCTTCACCAGTGCATGTTGTTTCTTGTGGTTTTGATTTTAGTCATTCTGACAGGTGTGAGGTGATGTCTCATTGTGATTTTGATTTGCATTTCCCTCACGGGGTGATGTTGAGCATCTTTTCATGTGCCTGTTGGTCATCTGTATGTCTTCTTTGGAAAAATGTCTGTTCAGGTCTTCTGCCCATTTTCTAATTGGATTATTTTTTTTGGTGTTCTTTATATATTTTGGATGCAAACCCTTTATCTGCCTCCCATTTTTTTTTTATAGACAAACCAAACAATCTTATACACATGTAGTGACAGTTCGCTGTACAATAAATCTAATATGAACCAAACTATTTTTAAAAAAGAAAAAGTAATACTTAAAGTTTTTATAAAAAAGGATTCTTTAACAAATATGTTATAGAAGAAATAAAAACCTTGGATTAACTTGCTTGTATATACAGTATTTTCTGTTCATAGACCATTTTTACATAACTTACTGAGATATAATTCACATATTATAAAATTCACTCTCTGAAAGTATATAATGTAGTGACTTTAGGAATAGTCTGAGTTGAATATATTAAATCACTACCCAATTTTAGAACATTTTTATCATCACAAAAAGAAACCCCACACTCACTAGGAGTCACTCTATGTTTTCCCTTCTCCCCGGCCCCTGGCAACTACTAATCTATTTTCTGTCTATGGATTTGCTTATTCTGGACATTTTCTGTAAATGGAATCATATATGTGGCCTCTTGTGTCTGGCCTCTTTCACTTAGCATAATGTTTTTAAGGTTCATTCATGTTGTAGTGGGTATCAGGACTCCTTCTTATGACTGAATAATATTTTGTTGTGTGTATTGTAGGCCATATTTTATTTATTCATCATCTGATGAATACTTCTGTTTCCTCTTTTTGGCTATTATGAATAAATGCTGCTTGCATAGACCGTTTCTCTGAAAGGTATAAAAGACCTGTTAACAGTGACCCCTGGGAAGTGTGAGAGGGAAACTTACCTTTACCTTTATGTACTAGGCGTTTTTTTTTTTTTAACCAAGTTCATATATTACTTTTTCCTAGTGTGTATATTACTTCTTAATACAAACAAGTGTAAGAACTTAATCATTAATAGTATGACATTGGGTAAGTAGTTATACTTCTCTGGGTCTCAGTTTTTTCATTGTAAATAAAATTGGACTAAATATTTGTCATGGTCTTTTTCAGTTCTCAAATTTTATGTTTATATGATAAAATGAGTTACAGTATTATAGGACTTTTTTTTTCTTCATGAATGAGAGTTATCTTCTGTATAACTGCAGTGTAACTATCAATTTGTTTTCATCATAGGACCTAGAGTGTTTATTACAATGGAAGAAATCAATAATTTCAAGACACCAAGCAAATTATCTGAAAAAAAGAAATCTGGTAAGATATAAAATATTTTCTCATTGTTATTGCTATAGAAATGTCTTAGCATTATTAGAGTTTGATCCTTTATTATTTATCATACACAAACAATTTTAGCATAAGTCCTCTTTGATTTTAACAAATAAGACTTATTTTGTAGGCCAGGTTTGGCCATCTGTTGGCTAATTTTATTGACATTCTAACAGATTTGGAGGTTCTCCCTGGTAAAGAATCAATTTGAACCATGAAGTACTTTACCTATCCCGTTCTGGTACATGTAGTGCTCTTGTGAGGGAAAGAGTTTCCAAGGCAATTCAGTGAATAAAGGATAATCTTTTCAACAAATAAAAGCATTTAGATATTTATATGCAGATTGCTCTCAGCTCACATCACATACAAAAATGATTAAAATTACAAAATTTCTGGAAGATAATATAGGAGAAAATCTTATCTTGTTCATTTCTAGTATATAGATTTTTGTATATTGACCTTGTGTCCTGCAACCATGCTGAAGCCACTTATTCTATTAGCTTTTTATTGGTTCCTTAGGCTATTTCATGCATAGTTGGTACTGTTGTAGATGAATATATGAAGATAGTGTTACTTTTTTTTACCAGTCTGTATTAGTTTATTTCTTTTTCCTTTCCCTATGTCACTGGCTCTAGTATATTTTTGAATAGAAGAGGTGTGATTGGACATACTTGCCTTGTTCCCAGTGAAGTTTTATGTTAGATGTAGGTTTTTCACAGTTATCCTTTATCAGGGTGAAGGATTTCCTTTTATTGTCCTTCATCAGGTTGAAGGTTATTACAGAAGGATGTTGAACTTTGTCAAGAGCTTTTTCAGAATCTATCGAGATAGTTTGCTTTCTTAGTCTTTAAATGTGGTAATTTGTGTTAATTTTCAAATGTTAAACCAAACTTTCATTCCTGGGGTAAAGCCAGTTTGGTCATGATGTATTTTATATATTGCTTGATTCAGTTTGCTAATATTTTCTGTGTTCATAAGGGATATTGGACTGTAGTTGTCTTTTTTTTGGAATGTCTTTCTGGTTTCGATATCAGCATATTCTATATTCATAAAGTAAGAGGGGAAGTGTTTCCTTCTCTTCCCTTGGAAAGTATATGTAGAATTGATGGGTGTTTTTTTTTTTTTTTCCTTAACTGGCTTTTCTTCCTTTACTGATAGGAAAGACATGTGGCCTGAAGTTTTCTTAGGAGGAAGATTTTAACTGTGACATCACAGTTAATAAGTATAGGGCTTTTCAAATTATCTATTTCTTCTTGTGTAAACTTTGTTAGTGTTTCTCAGGGAAGTTTTTCACTTTCCAGTTGTCAAATATAGTGGCAAAATGTTATTTGTGATATACTCTTATTACCTTATTACCCTTCTAATGTCAGTAGGATCTGTGGTGGTATCTCCTTTTTCATGTCTGATACTGGTATTTTACTTTTTCTTTCTTGACTTGAGGTTTATTTATTTTGGCGAATGTTTCAGGCACTTGAAAAGATCATACTTTCTGCTGTTTTTGGGTACAGTGTTCCATGAGTATCATTTAGGTCAAGCTGGTTGACTTATGTTGTTTTGTCCAGGTCTTTTGTATCTCTACGAATTTTATTTATTCTACTGTTGAGAGAGGTGTCTCCAACTACAATTGTGGATTTATCTGTTTTTTTTCCTTTGAGTTCTACAGTGATTGCTTTATGTATTTTGAAGCTTGTTACTAGATACTTTTACATTTAGGATGGTTATTTCTGTTGATGATTTACCCCTTTACTATTATGAAATGTCTTTCTTTATCCAGTCTTGTACTGTTTGAGGTTCACTTTATGTGATGTGTGTTCCCTTTTATGTGATGAAACCAGTCCAGTTTTAATTTGATTACTGTTTGAATAGGATGTTTTCCAACTTTTTACTTTAACCCATCTGTGTTTTTCTATTTAAACTGAGTTTATTATAGAGTGCATGTAGTTATGTCTTATTTTGTTTTTATCCATTCTGACAATTTCTGCCTTTAATTGGACTGTTCAGTCGTTAGCCACATCTAGTGATTTAAATTTAGGTTCAAATGAATTAAAATTAAATAAAATTACAAATTTAGTTCCTCAGTTGTATTAGCTACTTTTCTAGTGCTCAATAACCACATGTGGCTAGTGGCTACCATACTGGACAACACAGATACAGCACATTTCCATCATGACGGAAAGGTTTATTGGACAGCACTGCTTAGACTACCTTTAATGTAATTCTCTGTGTGGTTGGATCAAATCTACTCTTTTGCTATTGTCCCAAAGCTCTATGATGATTTCTTTGTATTTTTTCTAATCTTTTTCTCTGTGCTTCATTTTTGGTAGTTTTTGTTGCTTTGTCTTAAAACTTAGTTAACCTTCTTCTCTAGATGCTTCTCTAACAGCATCTCTAGATGATCTTATTCTTATCCGTTGTCTTATTCCTTTAAGTTCCATTAGGAGTTTTTTTTACATCTTTTTTTTTTTTATTGTTATGCTCACATTTTCCTTTACATTATTGAGCATATTTTTAAGATTTCTATTTTAAGGTTCTTACCTCCTAATTCTACACCACTGTCATTTTATGGTACGTTTCTGTCGGTTTATTTTTCTCCTGGTGTGGGTCATATTTCTTCTTTCATGCCTGGTAGTTTTTTTTATTGGCTGCTGGACATTTTACATTGTCGAGTGCTAGATTTCGTCATTCTTTGGAGGGCAGTGGGATTTTGTGATGGTCCAGTTACGTTACCTGCACATTAGCTTGTTTCTTTTGAGGTTTGCTTTTAAGCTTTACTGTAAACCTTTTCCTTGGGCTAAAATAGAGCCATGACCATTTAGAGGACTTTACTCAATGCCCTGTGTGTTACCAAGTTGCCGCACCCTGGCTGATGGTAATTGGACCATTCCTAGACCGTTGTGCTCTCTGCTGGCTGTTTAGTCTATGCCTGCGCCTGGTGCTTTCCCTGACTTTGGGGAGTTCTATCTGTTGGATGTGCAGATAACCCAACACTCAAAGGGAGACCTCTTCTCGGGTGTCTGGAGCTTTCTCTCTCATTTTGTGGCTCCCTGTGGTTCTCTGCTCCACAAATTCTAGCTACTTAGGTCTCTTGGACTTCTGATCTCTGTCTCCTGAATTTGACAAGACTTCTGGGCTGTGTTTCTTCGTGCTGCCACCCAGAGACCGCCTTAAAGTAGTAAGTTAGGGCAGTGATAGGGCTCCCATCATTTGTTTGTCTTCTCTCAGAGTTCACAACCCTGCTCCGCCTGTTGTCAAATGTCTGAGAACTTCTGTTTTGTCAGGTGTTTTAGTTATTCATGGCAAGAAGGCTGTTCAGTTGTTCATGAACAAAAGTAGGACTGCTCTATCTCATCTTTTTTAATGACTGCATAAAGCTCTGTAATACAGATATAGTATAATTATGACCCTAATGATGACGACTTGGGTTTTCTAGTTGTTTGGTTTGCAGTCACAAACCAAATCCCAGCGTTCAAATACAAGTGTGTGCATGATGTCTGCGCACATGCTGTGCTACGCAGCTGGCAAACAGCTCACGGGAGTCGTTCCGGCTTTGTGGGCCACGTAGGGACTCTGTTGCCTATTCTTCTTTGTTTTTTAACAACACTTTTATAACCTAAGAACAAATCTTAGCTTGTGAGCCAAACAAAAATGGGCCGTTTGCTGACGCCTGCTTCGGTGTTACTGTGAGGTAGGGCTCCAGAAGTGGATGTGGTCAAAGGGATTCCAGGGACAGTCAGGGTAGATAATATCAAATTGCTCTCCAGAAGACGAGGCCAATTAATACTCAGACGTTGAAAATACTAGGATGCTTTTGTAGAGGTCTTTTCAAATACTAATTTTATATTTTTTATTTGTCTTTCTGACATTTAGCATCATGTTCAACTCCATGTATAAATATTCCTGCTTCTCCATTTATGCAGAAGCTTGGCTTTGGCACTGGGGTAAACGTCTACCTTATGAAAAGGTGAGTGTAACATTCCAAATTAACCTTTTCACATGGAACCGTAGTTGCTGTGTACTTGAAGACAAAAAAGAATATGAAAATTCAAATAGTTTGATTTCGGATATGTTCCTGATCTTATCTGACTGCTATATTCCAGTCCTAGAACTTTTTATAACTTTGCCAGAGTTTTGCCTGGTACACTTTTCTCCTACCTTCCTACTGATGGATTATTAAAGGAGAAGGAATTTATCTTATAATTTTTCCTTGGCTTGTGTGGGAAGGGGAAGAGACAGAGGGAAGGTGGTTCCTGTGTGGTAACAACACAGGATTCTCAATAGGAAAACCTCCGAGAGGATGCCGATGTTGGGGGATGTCAGTGACTGTTACCCTCTTGGATCTGGAGAATGGCATCCTCAAGATACTCTCATTTTAAAAAGTACATTTTTTTATTTCTTATGTCATCACTGTTAAGTAAGAGGGGTATATACATGATATTAAAGTAGGAAAATTGTGTTAAAAGAAAAATGAAATTATAGGTGTCAACAAACATTTTTTTAAAAGTTGTTTCTTTTACTCATTATTCTGTACCTTTATTTATTAAGTGGCAAATAACTTAAGTCAATTTATATTCCTTAATACGTTGTTGGAATCAGCCTAACTACCAGTATATCATTAGCTTTATCTAGGTTTATATTGTTTCCAAATAGAAATGCTTTCTATTACATATAATTAGCATAGCAATTATATGTAAGTGGCTATTCTTGAAGAATTTTTGTGGTTTAAACACCCCCTTCGTGTGTTTCTGTGCTATTTGTTTTATAGACATTCATTTTTTTTT